GTTTTTACAAAATAATTTTGAAAAATTGAATATAAGACAGTAATAGCTACTACCGCAAAATAATGGTATTATATCTAATTTGGTAACACTATAATAATTAAGAACAGTAAATGGGTTAGCATTTTCAAACAAGCACCTCTGAAATATTTTTAATGGTTTAAGATTCTCTAGGTATTTCTTATATGAATTTTAATAATATTATTACAATTGTATAGAAATAATATTAACTAATTACCATATTTCTATGTACCATCCAATATTAAATACGAGTAAAATAGAACAAAAAATATCAACACAATCTCAATTATTCAATATAAAAAAAAAGCTACGGTGATTTCGTCACCCATTCAGTTAACAATACAACAAAGTAGGATTTAAGGCATTGTTATCTACGACATTATGCACCAGCTCTAAGCAGCTCCTAGGGTTGAGGCTGGAAAAAACAAAATATGAATTAAGAGATATAACAATATACGTGTAGCTATATTAATATAAAATTAGGAAATTTAAATGTACCTACTGTGTTGAATAATATTACTCTAATTATTGAAGATAAAATTAACATATTAAATAAATAAAAAAATAAAAAAATTATTTTTCTTAACTGATTCATGCCATTAACCGTCGAATTCGACAAAGTTTCCACTTGATTTTTTTATTAATTTTTCTTCTCATTCTAAAAATATGCAATCATGATATCATACGATTTTTGTATATTAATTTGAATAATTTAAGAGTTTCCTATTTTTCAAAAAAAAAAAAAAAACATTAATTTCAATTTTGAAGTGCAAAACCTCATAGGGCAAAGTACTAAATCAAATTTAATAAAACAATTTTGAATAAGCATTAAGCACGTGCTGAAGCTTTCATTTTAAGAAAAGCATCCTGTTATGAATTTACTATTAAGAAATTATTCTGATATTTCTGTCTATTTTTATGGTAACATTCCAATTTTTTAATTGTTAAAGTTTTCACAAATTAACCGTCTGTAATATTTTCGTTTTCATTCTAAACTCATGCTAAATTTAATCTACTTTCAGTTATTTTACAATGTGCGATAAATTTAGAAGAGAAAAAAAAATTATTTATTTTCTCACTTCTTTATTTAAAATATTGTGTTATCCTTTTTTATTGTTACAAATTCATTTCAGAACATAAAAAGAGAGAAAAATTAAACTCTATTGCATTATGGTTTCAAGGATTTTTGTTTTTTTTTTTATATATAAAATTCCTATGATCTTCTATATTAAATCCCATTTTCTTACACCAAAGCTATATAATCTTTCATTTCAGAGTGGCAAAAAGAAAATTAGAAAATTCCCATTTTTTTATTCAATATTTCAAAGTATTCATCAGCTTTATGTGCATAAATACACTAGAATATACAAACACGGCTATGCAATTTGCACGCGAATAACAGTGTGTGTTTCACGATTATAAAATATTTTTTTTTTCATAGAATCATTTTTAATTTTTACATTGCACAAACATTAATATTTACGCGCGGCGCAAATCAAGAAAATTTTCTATCATTTTTATTATTCTTGCCTTTTAATATATTTTGCATATTATATTCTTTGCTGATGTGTTCTACAAGTAGCTATATTTAAGTATATCCCATTCATATATGAATGTGATATACTAATAAAAAGTGTATACACACAGTTGTTTTTTCAAAGCTGTCAGTATCACCTTTAATATGATATCAAGGATAAATTATATGCTTCAATGTATTACCATAAACAATTTATGCATATACGCTCATATATTTTATGCTATTCTGTTGCAGTGCAAGTACATGATAGTGACAGTGTCTGCCTTGAATTATTATTATGTTTTTGACAGAGTCGGCTATTTTTGAAGATATTTTTGTTATGAAATAACTGTGAGTAAATTTTGGATTCAAATTTGTGCTGGCAATAGGGAATTAAATGTAATATTAAAGGTTAATAGATTACACTGCTTAAGATGAAAAAATTGATTTAGCATTCGGTTTTCGGATGATGACCGACGCAAAAATCAAAATTTCAATTATATTAGCCGCAAAATCCTTCTAATTTTTTTGGACTTTAAGCTAATAAGAAAAATTATAATTTTAAGATTTTGTGATTGCTTTATATATTCTTGCAGGTTTTGCATTCAATTATAGTCATACTAAAAGCCCTTGCTCTTGGAATAAATATTTTAAATTAATTATCAACTGTGCTTTGTTACGTAGCCTTAAGGCTGTTCGGAGTAGTTGCGTACTATTATATTATTTGAAAAGAATTAATAATTAATTCGACTCTGTTTAAATACAATGACATTACGTTAACGATAGTCCGTTATAATAGTACATTACGTACACGTATATGTAAATGTCAATCTTCATTTTATCACGTCTGATACATTTTTGTGCTTGTCGTAGTTTCAATGAAGTCGATATGCAATTTTCTTTTTGTTTTTATTTCATTCCTTTCTTTTTCTACATAGCTACATAGCTAGCAAAGCTACATGTAATATTTTTCTACTACTTTTAATTTTCGTGTGTTGCATATCTATAAGGCGTTAAGTAATAAAATTTGTTTTTTAATGTACCCGACTTATTCATTTTTACTTTCTTTGTTGTTGTTGTTTGTTGTTGTGTTTTTTTCTCAGTAAACTTTGGATGACTTTCAGTCTACACAATTCTCTCGCTTTTTTTTTCTGATATTATTAAGAAAAATTATCTTTCAGAATATGCATTTAACACAATGAATGCAAACTATAAAAATTTAAAATAAGTCACAAAATGGTGACAAAGACTATAAAGTTATAATAAATATTTTGTTGTGAATGTGAAAATGTCTTAGTGCAATAACTTTTCTTAAATCCTTCTTATTACTGTCATAAGAGTAATTTTTCATTACAGTATACAAAGAATTTTTTTTCCTATACGTGGATAATATTCGAAAAGTATTATATGTGTATGATTTTATAGTTGATGATTGAATAGATGCTAGTAGCTAGTGTTTTTATTTTAAGAATAAACATTTTTAGATAATTTCATATTGAAATGATACCGTGATGTGTGCTCTTTTATTACCATAAAATTATTCAAATTTCTGCGATTTTTTAACTCAACTATCATACTTTATACACATATACATATTATGTATATGCGTAATGATGGGTTCTTTTTGCAAAATATTTTTATTTTCAGTAAATTTACACATAATAACTCTTTGTAAATGAGATCCTTGATATATAACATGGTTGTATTCCAGAGTATATTAAATTTTTTTAAAGTTTTAAATATATTTCTATTTTCAAGTGATTCTATAAGATATGCACAATTGTATATATTGATTTTCAAAACCTTTTATATCCTCAATATATTAGGTTTTTTTTCCAATGACAAAAAGGATTCCTTTAAAAACATATTCGGGTTTTCTTTTAAATAAATATCTTAAGTTACTGTTATAATGTTCAAAATGTTATTTCACACTGTGAAAAAAAAAAAAAAAAATTATTTTAAAATCATAAAATTCTTAAAATCTTTATTTTGATTGAATTTAACTAAGAATATTATAATTTTTAAAGGATAACATGGATTTTGATGTATGTATAACAAAATATAATATGTATATTATAAAGATACAATAATACATTTGCATAATATGTAATTTTAAATTCAGTAAAAGTAAGAAAATTTTTGATTGCTAAATTGTACGTGATTTGTTTCTTAATTCAATTTAATTTATATTTAATTTAAAAGGATAATTTATGCTTATTAAGGAATCAGTGTATATTATAATTGATTTATGTCACCTCTGATTTAAAATAATTTTGTATGCTATAATGTAAAACTGAAGGTTATGTGAATAAAATAAATTTTATTAACAGGAAAAATTTGTTGACTTTATAAATTGTTTTTTTAAAAATCTGTTTTTAATGAAGTTCAAAATAAACTTATAAATTTTATTAAATGTTTAAGAATTACTGTAATTTGAATTTGATTTCTGATTTTATTTTTAAAAAGTACTTCTTTACTAAAGTGAACTTTAGTGAGCTGCAAAATATAACAGGTGTTTACGTATATAATATTAAGTAACATAATTTTTGAATGGATTCTTCACGGAAAAAAATTTTTGGGAAATTTCGTTAATTTTTTAACAAAATCCCTGATTTTTTTGATTGATTTTGGGATTGTGCGGTTTTTCAGTAAAGCTTGTAAAAAAACTTAGTAAAATTACATTATACTTGTTTACTTTCAAAGTTTGAATTATAAACGAGTAACATTAATTTTTTAATAGAAACTATTTAAAATTTTGACTTTTATCCTACATATATTTATAAATTTCATCAACTTCGATTTATGAATAACGACAATTATTTTTACAAGTATTCCAAAAAAATTTCGCATGAAAAGAAATTTTTTTTTAACTGTCAATCTTGAAAAATTTCACATTCAATTGAATTTATTTTAACCCAACCAGTAAATTTTTTTAACTGATTTTGTTAAATAAAATAACCGTTTTCATAAAATTTTATACAAATTCCATTAAGTTTTTTCTTAAAAAACCCAAATTAAAAAGATCAAAACCTGTAAATTTTTGTGGAAATCTAATAAAAATATATTACATTTTTTGTGAATTTTTTTTACAAATATTGTAAAAAAAAAAGGTTTACAGTGTCGTTTAATTCACGATAGGTATTTGTTGTGTACTTTAGTTCGCAATTCATTTGTTGTAGTTTTGGAAACACTGAAAAAAATTATTAATATAAAAATACGCTACAAAGTTTTGTATTTGTAATTCATTTTATTATATCTTATATATACTACATTGCATTTTATTTGTATTTGTAACTATTTATATACTTAAAATGATTTTTAATACTTTACGGTTCTGTTTACATAAAAATTTCTTACTGCTAATTTAAACTATAAAATATAAGTTTTCATCTTCCATTTTATGGATAGAAAAAGTTTGAAATATATTATTTATATCAACTAAAATAAAATTTTCAGAATATTTTACTACAAAAGCCTGTCTATGATAGTCATAAAATTCTGTATAAAAGCTTTTAACATTAAATTTTTTATAATTTTCTACAGAGGAGATTATTATGTCACAAATTTTTCCAAATATTTTATATGAATTTTCGTTATTATATCCTATTTCTATGATGGATCCTATTTTGAATCTTACGCTGTTAAATTGTACCCAAGAATAGAAAGCTACTTGACTTAAATTAAATTTATTAGCAATTAAAGTATTTAAAGGTAGGTTTCGGCCATACTGATAAGCATTAACCTCTAATCTTGAATTTTTAATGTTACTGTCACTTAATAAATACCTTTCAACTATCGTTTGGCATATATTTTTACGACTAGTGGTAGAATTCGCAATGTCTTTAAGCACTTTATGCTTCGCTTCGTGCCTCATAGACCATAACTGAATTAGTGGTCCAATTAGTTTCATTATATGACAGTAATGTGTCATATAATGGTGCTTAGGTCGCAAATGAGTACTAAAGCATTGCATAAAAATCTGATGATGATAGCTTATTAATTCTTCAAGTTCAGAAATCAAATTGTCGTTTATCGCTAACAGAAATAATTTATCACAAATTTGTTTAAGAACTAAAAATACTTCCCACTTTTTATTATTGTCAGGTATGAAATCTCCTATCAAAATTCCTAAATATTTTGTAAGCCAAAAAATTTCTGACGAAGAATATCGTAATTTTTTCGCTTTTAAATGTTCTTCCATGATTTCTGAAGGTTTATTAATATGCATATTAAAACTAAAATCGAAAAAATTTATTCTATTGTTGAGCGCACGTAATTCGAAAAACTTTTCTTTATGAATAAAGTCGTATAATAAATAGGAAATTTCTAAATTTAAAACCCCTTCTAGGAGATCATGCATTAAATCTACAGAAAAATTTTCAGTAACATGGTAGCTTGGTATTTGATTAAATATGCACTTTGAGGTTATCCCGGTTTTTGAAACATCATTCAAACTTAAATCGTTTTCATAGTTTGTTTTATTTCGTAGCAAAACTTTGTCTTCTTTAATAGCATTTCTTATATCATTACGATGCATCTTACAAAATCTACAAAAAAAGTTAGCCATAAAACACTCTGTGTAGCCTAATAATGAGTTCAGTCCTTTATTGTCGCCAATACAAGCCGCAAGTACAAAATAAACTACATGATCAAAAATTTTAATTCCGTTTGTTTCCAAATCAATAAGCTCATCAATCAACTTTTGAAAAATACGATTGCCAAATCTTTTTTTATCTAAACTATGAAAAAGCATTACCAAAAAAATATTATCTAATTTTGAGTTATACTCGGGCGGAATGCAAGGGAGGGAAATGTAAACTGCCCCTAAACTCCCTAAATCGGACTTAGAACCTAGTGTATTGTTGGTGTTAAAGTCGTCGTAATATAATATGATTGGATAAACTATTGATGTAGAAGAAAAATTTGAAACTTTATTTTTCCAAAATGTGGACTGTATTAAATTACTCATAGATTCCGAATTACGTTTTAAATTATTTACATAATTTTCAATTTTATCTAAAACCCCGGGGCTTTGAAATAAAGATATGAGAGTGCTTTTTATTGATATAAATGATGCCTTTACATCAACAGTTTTTAATAATTGCTCACGACCCTCATTTACCATATCAATTCTTTCACCTATAATAATCGACTGATATTTTTCTAAATCCCCACAATCTCGTAAAATATTTTTTCTTTTATGTTCACTAAGAATTGACACAAAACTATTTTTAAGCATAGAAAAAACATCTGATATCATAGACAGGCCTGTATTTTCTATATTAGCACTTTTATATAACTTAATTATAATTTCTTCCGCAACACCTAAAATGCCAGAATTCGCATAATCATTCAAAATGTCAATAACTTCTTGAATGGATTTCCTACAAATTTTAGGATTTCTATATAATTTTTTAATAAACTTTAAATTTTCTTCATCTAATCTTATTTTTAATGTATTTATATTAATTGATTCACTTGTAATAATTTCAACATTTGAGGGAGAAGTCTGACATGGCGAATTCACATTTTGTAATGCAAGCCCGGATGCACTATCTTGAATTATTGAAAAATTTGTATTCCTTGCTTCTTCAAAATGTTTAAAAATATGCCTTTTAAATGAGTTAAAATAAAGAAACTTTCTTTGAATTTTACATCTATGACAAATATAGGCTTTTGTGCTCTTATGAAAAACCTTTAAGTGGCCTATATAGCTCTTAAAATTTAATTGATATTTCATGCATATAAAACATTCCATATTACTTTAAGCACAAAATATTTTCATAAAATAAATTTGTAAATTAAATATGAAACAAAAATTTAAATTTTACACAATGACTCAAAAGAAAAAAAAACTTATCTGGCTAATAAAGAATCTTATATTAATATTTATTACCTAACTACTTCCAGATGTTTTAACTGTTGTTGAACATAATTGATCTAAATCCGTTATTAAAGAATTTAAAGTTGTAAATTTCTTATCAAATTCCGTCTGTATTTCGTATATATAAAGTTGAATGAATTGCCAGACTGGAAAACAGTGTTGTGGGAATTTTGCATGAAGAGCTGAAAAGCACTTGAAACATACATCTATTGCACTTATAGGATTGTCCAGTTTATAGATAATGTTATCAATAATAACATAGGCATTCTGTATTGACGCTAAAAAACAATAACAAATGTACATTTAACATTCTAAAACCGCTTAACTAAATTTTTCTTACCAAATGTATCCCCAATGAAAGCGATGAATGGTTGTAAAGTTTCTTTTTTTTCAGCGCAAAGTTTTCTTCTGGAATCAATTTTTTCTGTAAGAACCCTAGAATCCTATGAAAACATTTATATTTAATAGAGTTTGAAGAGTTTATTGTGTAATATTTTTGTGAAACATTTTAATTTAGTTGAAAAGAATGTAAAAAATCCGATTTACGCATTTGATTTTTAATAAACTTATAATTTACAAAAACAAAAATAGCAAAATGAAATTAAAACAAAAACACACAAGAATAATATTGTAAAAATATAAATGTCAAAGTGTATGTACATATCTATATTTATATGCTTACATTTAAGTGCGAATGTTGAGGTTATACAATGCAAACACTTTTTAACATTTTTACTTATTATTGTTGTTATTTTTTCTAATAATAAAAACTTAAAAAAAAATATATAAAGAATTTTGACATTGTCCACAATATCCATATTCATTCTCATAATTATATAAACATATGTATGTACACACGTAACATTTTATTATTTATATTTTTGTTATAGCATTTAAATTTTGTTCTTTTGTTTTTGTAAATTGTAAGTTCATTAAATATCAAATAAATAAATCGGTATTTTTTTCAACTAATATATGTATGTATGTATGTGCATTCAATAAACAAAAATGTTGATTACTTTTATAAGCAGCATAAATGAATCTAAAACTTCTAAATTTGATAATTTCTGGCGTTTATTGCCTTTTTGTGTAACATAAACGCATGATGATAATAAATGGCAAAGTATTAAAAAGCCACATAAATTTGATTTTTCATATACCTTTACAGATTCAAAAACTTTCATATGTTTTGTCTTAGAATAGTTTATAATGTTTTTGTTAACTTCATCCCACTTAGCAAATAGTTTGTTGCTGCATTGATTGTTTTCGTGTAAAATTTCAAAATCTTTGCACAAAAGAATGTATCCCTTTTGCGATTTTAAAATTGGATATGTTTCAAAATATTTTGAAATTGTAAAATCTTTATCTTTGTTTGATAAAATATCTTGCATTCGGTATAAATGTGTTTCACTCCAATATTTTTTAACGCTTTCCCAAGGTTCATAATTTTGTTTGAGAAAAGCAATTTTTTCAGTTATGTCACTTTTGAAAACTGTTGGTATAGTTTTTTTTATTTCTGGAGTCTGTACATTTTTTAATTTTCTTTTAATTTGTGAGTAGGCTTCGTATAGCATTCCAGATGGTCCACTTATTTGTTTAGTCTGACGGTTGTTATGGTATGGTGTAAAATAGATATTGGTTTTTTCGTTTGGGAAATTATTAGTTATACATTGAGCAAGTAATATAAACCTTTCCGTGCTAATTTTAAAGCTTGATGCGCATCCAAAAGTTTCAAATTCTCTTTCTATGATGAGATTAGCTAATTTGTGACGATGATGTTTATCTAATAATTGGTTTTTTTCATATAATCCTTTAATTAGAAGCCCATCCAGACAGTTGAGATAATGCGAAATTGAGTATTGAACTACAGTATTACTTGATATAGGATTTGGTAATGAAATTACACCTTCGTTTATTATATTATAGCCCGTTGTTTCTTCTTCTATTGAATCGATAGCGCTATTTAAGAACTAAATTTTAAAAGTTTTTAAACATAAAAAGAACGAAATTTAATTTTGTAACCTCATCGATGTTGATTTCGTCAACATTTTTTCCAGTAGACAGAGCTAAAGTTGAAGATGAGCAGTTAGATAATGTTGTTACTGTAGAAGTTGTCTGAAAATTTTGTTAAAGATGTCAAAAACTTTTCTAATACTAATGTAGTAAATTTATGTATGTATATATGTATGTATATTTCTGTATGTACATTTTGTATGCACATATGTATTTGAAATAAAATGTAATATTTCTAATAAATACATTAACATTTTTTTACAAATCATCTTCATGTGGAATTTCCAGTTTTAATGTGTCGGTATTTATAACCTTAAAAGAATTTAAATTTACTTACAGCATTTAAAAATTTCTTTTTGTAAGCTAACCAAAAATTTTGTCTGGGACCCGCTTTTGTAATGATGCTCTCTAGTGTTTGGTATTCCAAGTTTTCAAAACTGTTTTGATCAAATTCCTCTTCTTTATAAACACATTCAATTTGAAAAAAAAAAAAAATTGCGATTTATTCAATAAACACGCACTTTTTTAAAAAATTACCGACAAATTTTTCTAAATACTGAGACATATTAATCTCATCTAACACATTTTTTAAATATTCTCGCGAATCCATTATTTGTATTTATATACATAAAAAAAACAATCAGAAATTACACACTAAAAATAACAAATTTTACGCACGACAAACACTCTCCAATGACTTAACGAAACTGAATTGATTATGAATCATGTACACACATGACGTTTCAAATCAAAAGCAAAAACGAAAACAAAAAAAAAACTAAAAACTGCTGTTTTTTCTCTGCATTTCTAGAAATATTCTACAAATCTTTGCAAGTGTTATCAAATTTTTAAAGTATAATTGTGATTTATTTTACAAATTTCTCCTAAAAAAATTCACAAAATGTTGTGAAGTTTTTTAGGAACCAAACCATATTTTTTTATGAAATAGTGCAGATTATTTAAAAGTTTTATCAGCTGTTTATTTTCAGGTTTTTTAATAATTGCTATCATAATATTATGTTAAATTTTTTAGGAAGCCCTGGTAATTTCTTTTAGAATAAACGTTAATAAAAAAAATTGTAAGGCCAAAATGCCTTGTATTACACATTCTTAAATATTTTAATAGTTGTTACAAAAATTTTCAGGAATAAGAGTAAAAACTTTTTTTTTTATTACGCACATTACTTTTGATAAATTTAACAAAAAATTTTGGCATAAAATGTTTATAATCTCAGAATACTCGCTGTTTTTTCTGAGAATATTCTCGTAGTTTTTTTTGGGAACTTCTTGTAAATTTTTTTTTCCGTGTTAAATATTCGACTAATTCTCCATAGTTTTAAAGAATATTTTTGAGTAATTATTCTATTTTTATGGAAATGTAGCGGAAAATGTCTAATTAGAATTGATTTTTATGGTAATATTAAATAAAAATATTTTTAGAACAATAAAATTTTAAATTACAGACGTCAAATACCACGTTAGTTCTTCTGAAAATTTTCGAAATTGAAAGGAATAACTGAAAGAACGGATCAAAAAATCTTTGATTGACTTTGATAAATGAACAGTTATCATTTAAATGCACAACATGTAGCCTAGCAAAATCGTTATAATTCAATGAAGACAATAGAGTAAATGGTGGAGAATTAGTAAGAGTTAGAATTTCTTAGTATTAGAGACAGAAAAAATTTTTGGATTTCGTTTTACGGAAGAACAAAAAAAAAAATAGCAAATAAATAAAAAGAGTTGAGCTGTAATAGTCCTGATATCCAACGCAAAGTTAAAAACAATTTAAATTCGTAAGAAATATAAATCTCGGAGTATACCTTTACGAATACCAAAACCAAAATAACTGCAGTTAGTATTAGCGGCACGCAACATCTAATTCATTGGCTCACTGCTACTATAATCCGTATTGTCATGATGAGCATGGACAAATTCCACTGAACTCAAATTGTACGAACGATAAGGTTCTCTAACGTGACACGCTTACTATTTTGGAGTGGGCCAAAAATATAGTAAATAAATATGATTCCAAGCGTATGGGTCAGGCAACTCCTTAGTCCACTACATCTATTTGAAATTCCTTAATCGATTGTGTCAATTGAAGTTAATTAAAATTTTTTACACAATATTGTTTATAAGATATTTTATATTGTTAAAATTTCCGAAAATTTTCTAATCGCAACTATATTATCGACATTAAACTTTAAGCTACCGAATTTTCATAAATGCATTGGAAAAAAAATAATAATATATGTAAGTATTATCTGTGCTTATAGTTTGATCAAATATATAATACGTGTTTATGCAATTTTGGCACGTTATACTTAATTTTATCCTTGAAGCGCAACAATAATATTATTTTATCATCAAATTTATCACATAATATGTTACATAATTTACACTTTATATGTATAGTTACCTGTTTTATTAGTTATCTAAGAAAACTGTATACAAATTATATTAAACGTATATAACGCGATCTATCGGGATGAAAAATAATAACAAGGACTTTGATTGCAAAATATCTACTGTTTATGTTTATTTTGTTTTTGGGGATTAAATCTTTTTCATAGCGAGTATTCGATAATATATTTTTGCCGGTTAGTGCAATTTACGAAAAACTACTAATATTATATTATATGGTTGTTTGCAACTTACTGTCATAAATTTGAAATAGAAAATTTCAAAACTTAAAGAATTTTAGAATCATCACCATTCTCATTAGATCAGAAAGGTGGTTATCCTAAGTTATGGATTATCTAAGCTGCTTCCCTTATCTAAATAGTGCCTTTTGTTGGTTATAAATCTAAAGAAAAATGTGGTAGATATATTAGTTTCAGATTTTCCCGGGATCTGTAAATCTCAAAATAGCTTCCGCAAACTTCATGATTAGCATCTTATATTTAAGTCCAAACTAAAAGTTGTGGTAGAATTTAGAAAATTTGCTGTCATTTTAAAAATATGACTAACCTAATACTTTCAGTTTAAATTTTCATTTGAATAACGCGACTTTTCTAATAGAAAGTTTTTACCAGAATTTTTGTTTTATTGCTTATACTTTGTGTATATTTTACATAATGTTCTTCTACAACATATTAGTGGTATAATTTTCAGTTTGAAAATTTTAAAATTTAAGGATCTTGGTATAGAAAATAAAATAAAATTGAATACCTAAGTGACATTGTTTTACAATGTAAATTTTCATGTAATATTATATACTTTGACAAACCAACACCTTTTATAAATTTACCGTTAAGTAGTTTCGTTGTCATTTTGTGTTTTTTATTATTTTTTGTTGCTATTATTTTTAAACTTCTGAATTTTACTATACAACATGTGGTAAAATTCCAAAAGATTCTTATAAAATTTTGATAATTTTTTGAAGCATTTTTTAGGGGATGCCATAACAAGAAAAATTGTAAGATTACTTCGAGGTAAATGTTTGTGGAATTAGTGGTATATTATTGGAAATTGAATGAGTAAAGACTTACCTTATACCAAGTTTTATTATATCAAATAATAGTGAATTCGTTCTGTTTACTTACACTCATTTGTTGTTGGATGTTTAGGTTTGGACAAGAATTAGGTGAGAATTCTCACCAAGGTTTTGTCGGGTAATTTCGGACTTTAGTAGGCGGGTTATGATAAGTGAAGATATTTGCACATGTTGTGCGGGGGATGGGGAAACTTCAGTACAGCCTCTGGGAAAGTGTGTTGCTCTCGTTCACGGGGGAAGGAAAATAATGGGAGACTTTGCTCTGACGGCTGCGGATTTGCGGTTTTTCACAAGTTGGTCGAGTACATCAGAGGGGTGGACATCGGACCAATACTCTTAGAGATACAATGGTGGATCCAATACTCTTAGAGATGGACCACAATAGTTTCTTATGCATGTTTGCGGTTCACTGTTAACACGGTTTTACACTGACTCATAGTTCCGCTATCGTCCTCATCTAATTTATATTGTTCAGTATTTGTTTTTCTTCTAGATCCAAGGCTTCAAATTTATTTATTTTTAATAAGACTATGCTAAAAAGACTAAGAGAAAAATTTTTATTGTTTTCAATTTCAAAAAATTTTAAATTTTGTGGGAATTACCCTTAATAAGAGGATCTCATGTTTGCTTTAAAATATGATAATTTTATGTTATGTAATTCGAAATATTCTATATGAATTGTAAATTATCCCAACATTATTCTATATGTGAATAATATTAAAGAATTTACGTGAACTCATTTTAATTTACGATTTTTAGTATAAATTTAAAATTATATCAAAAATTTAAATAATTTCTCTTACTAAATTAAATTAGTCTTTGAAAAAGTTGTTTGGTTTCGAGAACCGAAAATTTTTTATCATAATTTTTGAGAAATTTAAGATTTTAATAATAAGATTCTAGACAGTAATAATTAAATTTTGACTGAATTTTCGTATTCTAACGAAATTTTTGTTTTCGAGTAACTCTCTAATCTCAATAAAATATCAAATAGTCCATTAGAATAAACCATTAGAGTTAGATACATATAATGTGGTTTTCAACAATTTGAAAGTTGCCTAAAAAACCATCTATTTCGTAAATTAGCTTCTTTATTTTTATACTCAAATCCTTACATTTCCTGGAAAATATTCACCAAATAACAAAATCCTTCCTTTTTACATTAGGAAAATTTAGTTTGTAAAATATTTTGGATCTTATTTTTTTGTTTGTAATGAAAATTTTTGAAATTTGGACTGAACCAAACTTTTACAATTTCCATACAGTTTTGATTTGAGTTTCTATATATAAGTTAATAAATTTTCGTATACTTATTTTGTATATGCAATTGAAAACAGATTTTAATTTTCTTGATGTTATTTTTTTGTTTTTTTTACAAAAATTTTATAATAGATAGGTTTCTGCTCATATCGTTTATGATCTTGTATTTAAGTTATGAATGTAAAAGTTTTCTTTTTCTCATTTTGTGTGAATGTTATAGGAACGAATGTGAATTTAGAAAATAATTTTCATATAAGCTATCACTTGTATTGTATCTCTCATAATACTCTCTCTATGTTCTCTCTAGAGTGTAAAATTTTATTTAAATTATGCTGGAAAACTTTTACTTATGATTTTTCATGCATTTTTTTTTTTGATTTTTTTTTAAGTAAAAATACCCACAACATTTTACTCATTTAGGGAAGATAATTTACAATCCTTTAGTGAATATTTTGTGAATACAAAAAAAAAAAAAATTTTAAAAAATGTGTGATATCTAGGGAAAGTTTTAAAAACCAACAGAACAAACACTTATGATATTCAAACTAACATGAAAGTGACATATACACATATAAGAATACCCAATATAC